CGGCAACGGGATCGCAAGCCTCGGTGTTGCTCCCGCCCCTCGCTCAGCCAGTGAGCGGGAGCCGGTCTGTATGTGGGATCCGAACCCCCGGACGGGAGCGCCAGCCGCGCTTCCCAAGCAGCGCACTATCCAGTGCGCCACCGGGCCGGCCCCTAAACGTGTATTTTTAAAAATAATTTAGAATTTTCAAAATAACTTTTTGTCACATTATCCATCTTTTTAGTATTCTCTGAGCAGCATCTTATGACTTGCCTGCATTGTATGGGGAATATGCTTTTGGACATCCCCCCAATCCACCTCATGACTTTGGCCATGATAGAAAAACAGTAACTACTTTTTCTGTCCTACTCCCATGCTCTGTGTTTCTCACAGGTCCATGAAATTTTGCAGCCATAGACAGGACCCTTAAAAATCAGGTAGTGCTGGGCCGGCCCGTGGCTCACTCGGTAGAGTGCGGTGCTGATAACACCAAGGCCCTGGGTTCGGATCCCACATAGGGATGGCCGGTTCGCTCACTGGCTGAGCATGGTGCTGACAACACCAAGTCAAGGGTTAAGATCCCCTTACCGGTCATCTTTAAAAAAAAAAAAAAAAAATCAGGTAGTGCTTAGAGGTGGTGGTCACAGTGCATGTTATTAATTCCACAAAATAGTATGTTTAAAAACAGTTAAGGGCCGAGCCCGTGGCACACTCGGGAGAGTGCAGCGCTGGGAGCGCAGCAGCGCTCCCACCGCGGGTTCGGATCCTGTATAGGGATGGCCGGTGCGCTCACTGGCTGAGTGCGGTGCGGCCGGTCTCAAAAAGGACAAAAAAAAAACAGTTAAAATGGCAAACCTTCTGTTGTATATATTTTACCACAATAAAAAAAAAGAAAAATCATGTAGTGCAGTTTCCTCTTTCACAGAGATGGCACCTGAGGCCCACAGTGGCCTTTCCTTTCTTATGTTTCTTTCTACCTCTTTGAAATGTCAGCTAGATTATCTTCCTTTCATATTGATCTAAGAAAGGCTAAAACAGAATGCCTTATTTTCTCACAGATTTGACATCATTGTGATTCCTGTGTTTTACATGGTGTGCTGCTTGGTACCTGAGCATTGTTATGGTGAAGTACAGGGCTCCACATGCCAAGGTTCATAGCATTTTGCAGGAGGAATCCCATGATTCAAAAAACACGCAGGCCCGATAGCTTGAGATCTCTCCATCCAAGAAGCTCAGGAGTCTCTAGTGATCACCCCAGCATGCTAGGGAGAGCCGTTGTGCCTTCGTTTTGATGTTTAATATTGGTTATCTGGGACTCATTAGGAAATTTAACCTATGATATTTAAGGTGATGTTTTCTTTGTAAGATTCCTGCAGCCTCAGAGATAAGTCACTAAAATAAAGAAAGGAAAGAATGTTTAAGTCTCCAGAGAGCTGAGAGAGAGCATGACTTGGGAATGACCAGGAGGGAGACAGAGCCCTCACCTCATGGGGCCTGGGGCCTCTGATGGAAAAACTCATCGCAGTTCTATTGATGTCTCTTAAGGCCCTGGGAAAGAGCGTGGCCAAACCCCAGGCAACATGTACATGCCGAGGTCAATGACTTCAGTGCTTTGGGTATGTTTTCCTTACTTCCTGGGTCCTCAGTTGTCCTCTCCTCTTGATTTTGCTGTAGGTTGTGGAAAGGAGGAGAACACCTGCAGAGATCAGAGAAGAGTTTGAGCGTCTGCAGAGAGAGAGGGAGGAGAGGAGGCTACAGCAGCGAACCAACCCCAAGGTAGGCCGGGGCCCCCTTTTATGAGGACACGTTGAAGGGCTTTGTTACCAGCAGGCAGGTCTAAAATAACTAGGTGCCAGTGGGTGTTAAAGCAACAATATACAAAATTGGATGGGACAGAATTTCAGTTGTTTTATCTCAAAGTGGTATCTGTCTGGAAAGTAGCTCCTGGTAGCTCTCAGTAGAGCTGTTGCTGATGACCAGGCGACATGTGTTTTGAGCCATCTGGAGAAAAGACAAAACCAGTCCCCTGGTTTTCCCAGAAGCCAGGGAGATTTCCCAAGCAGAAACACAGGCTAATTCTCTAAGACCTTTCCCCCAGCTCTGCTGCCCATGTCCTTGACATTGAATATCAGTTAGAGGACGGTGTCAGGGGAAAGGACAACCACCTATCAGTATAAGCATTTAGGCAATTCTTCATGTTAGGACCAGTTAGGATAAAGAGAGCCAAATAATGCAGAGGGTTTAGGGCATTTCCAACTTGCATTAAGCAGGGGTTTCTTAACGTAAGTTGACTCAAGTCTACATTGGAGTTTGAGTCATTTAACCCAGTGACACTACTGAGTCAGAGAGTTACGTTTCAGTCCTGTGTATATCTTTTTTCCTTTGATTTACTGGGGAGAATGTTCTGAGGTCTGCTCCAGCCCTGTGGCAAGTAGAATATCTCAGTCAGTGTGAGATGCCAGTTGTATAAATGGCTAATTGAACATGGCCAATGTGCTGTCCAACTGTGTTTGATAAGAGGAATCAGTGGCTGCGCCCTGTCAGTGTAGCCAGGATGGGCTGGCAGACAGCCTGTATCTGTCAAAAGGAGATAGTTGCCTCCCCCCAGCTTTGTCATTGGCCTCTTCTCGAAGGTTCATCATTGGAAGGAGAGGTGAAGCCAAACAAAGTAATAAGAAGCATCATTACTTTTTAAAATCTTCTAAAGAAAAAGAACAACTAGCTTAAACCGGGAAGCATGATAAGATGAACCTCTGATCAAATACATTCGAGAAAACAGATTTTTTAAAGACCCCTACAGCATTTAAAGGACCATATATTCAGAACATACCCATCTGTTTGCATCCTGCATCTCCCGTCCCCTCTTCCCACCCTCCCCTCGACAGGAGATGACTTCAGTAGTGCAGCATGGAGGTGGGGAATCCAAACACTGGGTATACCAAGGCGGGGAGTTAGAGATGATTGGGAGAGTTGGAAATGTCCGAGGCGCCCTGAGCTGTGCTAGTGGTTCCCTTCCCACATCTCCCAGCCCAGTGCTAAGGGCCAGTGCACTAGGGGGAGGTCAGTGTTGGCAGGTGGAGGTGAGGATGGGGGAGATAAGGTAGGGCCTGGCAGGAGCAGGCTGGTACTTTGATGTTTTTGCTGTTCTGGCTGGAGTTTGCTGCATTCTGAACAGTGAAAGGGAAAGAGGACCTCACTGTGGTCCTGAGCCTGTGTCCTATGATCAAATCGGCCATCTGGGTGTGTGCGGAAGTTACTTATTGAGATTCTATGCAAATGTGTCTGCAGGCCATGTTTTTGTGGAATGAGGGAGCACAGCTGTGACCGTTTCATACAGGCAAGCAAGTTATTTTAAAATCTCCAATACTTTGCTATTTCCATAAACTGCCTCCAAATAAATAAAACATTTTCTAACCAGAAATACTGAGTGATAACCAGATGTTGGCTATACAGCATTTTTGAGGAGAGAATTTGAGTTGGGTCTTTTGTTTCATTTACAAGGCGGGGAGTTTTGCTTTTCAATATGAGCAGAAAGGTTTGGGGTGTCCTCATCCTAAGAAGAAAGGGGTGATCTCTTATAAGAAGACAGTAGGGAGAAGGACACTTTGGTGACTGTAGAGATCAGCCTGTCATCTGGGCCCCCACAAAGGCCCATAGTTTGTACAGGATCAGCAGACCATATGCCATGTGTGATACTGCCACCTGAAACTTGGATGAGTATTTCTCTCCATTTCCATCAGTAAGAGTGTTAGGTAGGGATTTTCCAGCAGGATGTATGTACCAAGCAAAAAGACCTCATGGCAAAAAGCACAGGTTAGAAATAATGCCTGACACAAGTAAGGTAGGACACAGAGCAAACTATTAGACCTATGTTCAGTGTTTTCGTTTGTAAAATGAGCACATCTGTCCTAACTACTATGCCAAATTGTTAAAAGACTGAAAAAAAACATGAAATAGATGTTATTTATTAGAGAAGGATAATCCTGCTATATAAATGCAAAGTGGTACTAGTACCAATGTGAGGTTCAGAACCAGACTTTGTTTTGGTATTTCATTTGGCACTGAGTTGGAAATACGTGGCTCAATCAGGCAGTTCCTTTGCCCGTGGTGGTGGGGTTTGAGTGGGGTCTGTCGATTAGGTTATGAAAATGGCCATCTTCCAGTTCCCTCCACCTTCTCCTGTGGCCAGGCCCGATGCCGTTTGCAGCATGGCCACTGCCTGTATTCTTATCTCGTGTGAAATGTGTTGTGGAAAGCGCCGTGGGGCCCAGGAGTGAGGGGACACTCAGCTCCAGTGTGCGTGCACCTTGCCTCCTGGCTCTGTAGCTGACGGGATGCAGGCATGTGCGCACACACATGCACTGCAGGCAGCAGGGCAGAGCCGTGGACTCAGAGACAACAGCCCTGGGTCTGGATTCAGAGTCCACCTTCCAGCCGGTGCCCTTGGTCGTCCTTTCTACAGCCTCAGTCCAGTTTCTCTCTGCATGAAATGGGAGGTTTGCCATGAGGCTAGCCGCATGGGGTTGAGTCCTTGGACCCCACAGTCCTTAGTTCTAATTCCCTGATTTCTGCCTTTGCTACTGGAAAGCACCAAGCTCAGTTGCTGGGGTCCCAGCATCACCAGGACCCTCCACATTGAGCTGGTGCAGGAGGGAATTTTGTGGCTGGACAGGACGTGAGGTTCATCCACGACTACTGTGTGAAACTGGAATCTGACTGCACCACCCTGGCCATCCTCCCTCCATCTTTGGATTTCTATTTCATGTGCATAATTCAGCTACATTTCTTGCCTTTTAGAAATTAAGATCATATAACCAGGTTGTTCTGTGCTCTACTGACTTCATATTAATTCTTTTGTTAATGCCCATAAATTTTATCTCTCTGTGGATAGCAGCCACTGTGAACATCCTTAGAAGACGGCCAGCCCCCAGGCAGCTTGTCTGAGTTTATTGCTGCCTTCTTCATGCACTCCTTAAGGTCCCAGGTAGAGCAGAGGGTTAAGTTAGGATTGTTTTGGGGGGCTTGGCTGTCTGTCTCTAATGGCATATATTGCTGTATTTTTTTAATCCTGTTGGAGACGTTTCATGGAGATTGTTATTGTTACCTTATTTTCTGGACCATTCTTTTTTTTTTTTTTTTTTTTTTTTTTTTTTAAAGGGGTGGTTTAAAACCCCCCACCAAACCCCCCTTTTTTTTTTTTTTTTTTTTTTTTTTTTGCTATTACAGAGGTTGATGTAAACTCCTCAGCAAGACCTCCTTTCTGATTTTAGAAACGCTCTATGATCAGTGTGGTTCTTGCAGTAGTTTAGAAACAATTCAGCTGTATCAGAAAAAAAATTAAGGGCTAGCCCATGGCTCACTGGGGAGAGTGTGGTGCTGATAACACCAAGGCCATGGGTTCCGATCCTTATGTAGGATGGCCGGTTAGCTCACTTGGGAGAGAGAGCATGGTGCTGACAACACCAAGTCAAGGTTAAAATCCCCTTACCGGTCATCTTTAAAAAAAAAGAAAAGAAAAGAAAAAAAATTAAAATAATATATTGAGGAAGGCATGTAACCATAAAAATATCTTTAAATCCCAAAATGTTTTCATAAAGATGTATGAGTACGTTACTCAATTATTTTTAAAGGATTTTAAGAAAAAATTTTTGATTGCCCTGGTTAATGATTATAGCCATCACAATGAGCCTGTGGTTATGACTTCTGTCTATTCTGTGGAAATGATTCTGATGTCATAAAACTGACTCGACTTGTCTGACAGGATAATAGTGCAGAAGAAAAGCTGTTGAAACTTATGTGTTTGTTGTGCTCAATGGCAGGAAGGGGCAATTTGCCGTATGCAGAAATGGGCTGCTACTGAAATTGGAGAAATTGGGAAGTTGTCATATAAGGAGAAGGGACAACTGCATGTTTAATCAAGTCAGGGAAAGTGCTGTAATATAAAACTGAGACTTTGGAGAGGAGAAGAGGTGGCTGTCTATGTAGAATGCACAGAGGGATTCAAAGACAAAAAGCTCTTTGTCTTTAAGTGAGTGAGAGTTGGAGGGCCGTCCCCCCTCCCTCCATCATGTCAGCCTGGCCACTTACACACAAGATTTCAGAATTAAAGTCTACTGCTTATTTGGGTGGTGGGGGAGGGTGGTAGGGCCGGGAATGGGGACCAGTAGTGGTTGGGCTAGAATTGTCCTTAGGAACCCTGGTAAGTTTGAGTTTGATCCTCCATAAAATTTGAGAATATCGGTTCGGACATTCAGCTCAAAGACAATGATTCTGTGGCAGCAGTCATCACAAGAGCCGTCCTGCGTTCATCAGTTATAAAACAGGCAAATTTCACATTGCCCTTTATCAACTCTTTTGGTGGAAATTTCAATTAGTAACAAGTTACTATTGAGATTGCATTTGACAGAAATTTCTCATGTTATCCTTATGGACAGATAAAGAAATATAAACATGAAAGCAATTCAACATGGATAGTAATGATGTGTTAATTAATTTGTGATAATCACTACACAATGTGTATATGTGTGTGTATATATATATATATGTATATATCAAATCATCACATTATACACCTTGAATATATATAATCTTGATATGTCAACTAAATATTTTTTAATTTAATGATTTCAAACAAAAAAAAAATAAAAATAATTTAGAATGGCACATTCCTGGCTCAATAAAAACCTGATGCTACTCAAAGAGGGCTGATGAATGCAGCATTTCCTACCTGGTGAGAAACTGCTCATTGTGGGGGGGAAGGCTCCTGCTTATCACTG